CATCCCCCGCTGCTCCCCGCGCCCCGGCCCCGCTGCCAGCGGCCCCTCTCCGCTTGCTTTCCCCTTTTTTTTCTCTTCCCCCGTAGCTTTCAGACGGGGGTGAGACCGCTCAGAAGACGCCGTCTGTCAGTCCCCAATGAGCCGTTTGATCGCTCTGCGAGGGGAATCAAACGCCTTTAAAATCAGGCTTTCGCAGCTTCAGCCCCGTTTTCCCTATTCATGGAGGTTGGCTGCGGACTGCTCTTGCCTCCCGAAGCGAGATGAAGTACGGCTTGGAGCAGTCGAGAGCCGGCTGGTTGTTTGCTGGTTGGATTGCTGCTCTGTGTTGCTGCTGTAGGATCAGTATCTCATCGCGGTGTTGTTCTTAACTCCTCGCTGCTCTTCAAATGCAGAAGTAACCCCTTTCTCCTTTACAGTGCGTAACGAAAGATGAGGCAAAGATTCCCTTCCCGTAGAAAATAACCACTGCTTTCACCAAGTTTGGTTTACGATGGTTCTGTAATTTCACATGGTGCAGACATTGCTAGGCAGTTCACAGTGACATTATTCTTATATACAATGAAATTGGTCTTACGTACATCCAAACAAATGTAATTGAATGCCAGTTACTGCAACAGATCTTGTTCACTTGCGTTTGTGAGTAAAAGGATACACGCTCAAGTCCGCGGTTATTTTTTCCTGAGTAACTTTATTTTAGCTGAATCTTATCCCTTCTTGTTATCTGTTGTCTTGGAACCTGTAGTATTATTTAGTGAGAGGCCCCCTCTAGTCAGTCTCTTTATTTTGGTTATTTTTTTACATTTGCTTTTCATTGTGTGTGTTTGCTTCCTTTAAAAAGTCACCAGGGAAACAATGGGCAGGTAAGGAAAATGCAGCTTGCTAGCATTTGAGGTTCCTGAACAGGTGAAAGTGCATAGTATACTCGAGTCCTTCCCCCCCAAAAAAATAAGGCCATGTAGTTTATAAACTAGCTTTCTAACGCAGCCTATGCGGTTATTTATATAAATGGGAAATCACTGTAGCTTCACCTTTGTACTTCTAAGCCTGCTGGTGTCTTCCTCTGCCAGACCTTCATCCCTTGGAAGCAACCAGTGATGCCTGTTCTACGTATTTTTACTTCTACTTAATTATAAAACAGCCTCTAAATTTCTTGATCTGAAACATCTGGTTTTATTTTGTGAACAGGGCACAAGTAGTCAGGTTTATTTAGAAATGTAGTGTGTGTAATGACTGATGTAAAAAAAAAAAAAAAAGTAAAATTGCTAGCTCTTTTTACTGTAGAATGTTTTTCCAGACATCAAGGATTTATTCCTTTATCTCTAAAGGGAGCCTTTGCAAATGACCTTACATATTTTTAAGGAGGCAGAAAACCCCAGAGAACAGCTTAGGGATTTAATGTAGTACTGGCAGTAGGTGGTTAGTTACTTCTGTAAAGTAACTCTCGGTTGAATAAAGAAAATAATTTCCAATATTACTGAGAAAGGAGCTGTGAAAGATTAAATAAGATTTTAAGTTTACGGATATTGCTTTGATAACTTCAAAATAACTTTACATGTTCAGTTTGTTTTGGGGAACTTCCTAACTACGTATTTGTTTGGAGGGTGCTTGTATTTACATTGTCTACATGTGGGTCAGATCACCCTTGTGCTACCTGATAAGCTTTTTGCAAAATTGGAGGCATTTGTGTATGATAGTGTTTCAGACTGAGCTTTAAAAGGCTCTGTATACAAAATTATAATTTTCTTAATTTCAAGTTTAAGACCAAACTGGTGGTGTGATTTTTTTTTTCTTTTTTTTTTTAAACTTGCTTGTTACTAGAAGAAAATTGTTGGGTTCAGTGTAGTTGCGTGTGATTACTAGCAAGACTGTTCTCGAATATTTCAGTGTTGACCTATGGTTTTGATTTGAGAAGCATGTGAGTGTTCTAATTGGATGGTTTTATCTGTTCAAAGGGAGGGAACAGGTTTCAAAAATCCGGAGAATAAACGTCCACGTAGCTTTTTAAATAGCCAATGGTTTAAATGTTGCCTGTATGACTCCGTGAGAATGTGAGAATTCGTGTGCTTTCATTTTCTTTTTTTTCTCTGATGTTGTTCCCATGCTTTTTCATGGCCCTTTAGCACCAGTTGGGGAGTGGAAGCAGGGAGGCATGGTCTCTTACTGGTTTCCCAGAAAGCAAGTACAGCACTTCTGACCCAGTATGCTTGGGCCTGGAGAAGCTGGAGTGCTCCAGGGAGGCTGCAGTGGTCAGCTGGTTTGCACTCGGAGATGGCACTCCTTGGCATTTCGGTTTAAATGTATAAATTAAGTCATATAAAACATGTATTTGCTAAAGGTGCTCGAGGAGGTGGGAAGCTAGTTCATGAACAGATGAAGTGGTGATGACTTACAAGTCAAAAATATTTGGGGATAGGTATTTTTTTTTTTCTTGGTGCGTAAATAGAATAACTTAGGAGAGCAAAGGGAGAATACAAGCTAGTCAGCCTGATACTGATGGGCTGCAGGCACTCAGTTTGATGCTTCTCACTTGTGTGAGTGCATCCTTGATGAAGCTTCTGTTACATTGATTGAAATGTTTGTGTATTATGGGGCAAACAAATATGAATGTACCAGTACAATATTCCCCCTGCCCAGTATTAGAACTGATTTGTCAATTTTAGTGACATTGAAAATGTGGCCAAAAAGAGATTTAAAAAAAAAAAATACGCTTTTAAGGGTAGTCTGCATTGGAACCTGGTTGTAGAGTGTTAGTCCCCCTTGGCAGAGGGGAAAAAGTCAAGACAAAGCACTTCTACTTTCAAAATGGAAGGTATTAATTAATCCTGTGACAGGCAGCATTGCAGTACATGACCGGAACTGTCTGAAATAGCATGTAGAGCTATTGTGTCATAGGTAGCAGTATAGTTCTATTTATACCATAAACTTGCTGAACTCTGGGTTGCTGGAAAGGAATTTGCTTGTCAGGAAATTCCAATTATTAAGAGTAGTGTTTGTATGGCTTTTAGAAAAAAATGTATTCTGGATTAACGACTGTTTAAATCTAAATAATCATTGTAATCAATACGGTTATTTGATTGGAACAAATTACGTTTAACCGCAGGATTCTGAGTGGAGTTATATTCTGGGAACATGTTTGGGTATTCGCGTGCTTGCAGGACGTGCTCATGTGCACCAGAGAAGGGTATAAATGCCGTGAATCCTACTCGCAGAAATCATTTTTCATGTCTAGGAACTGACATAGTCTTCATGGCTTGGAGTTGATACGATACTCAAATACAGAGAGTTTCTAGAGAAGACTGAAGCACATTTCATTTGAAACCCTAGAACATTACTTGAAAGCAACGTATGCTGTTTCTAACATAGTGAAGTCAGTCCCTTCAATGCTTTTACAGAGGGCTGCAGCTGAGAATTCCTGCAGTCGCCTGTTCTCACTACCACGGCATCTGCTGATTTGGATTTCACTGGTGTCTTCGTGTGGCAAGAGGACTTCATCCTGTGAAGTCGAATTGAGCTGTATATTGATGCTGCTTGCCAGTAGACGATAAAATAGGAATATTTACATTTCAGCCCAGAGAAGTGTTTATCTAGGTGCAAGTAGATTGTGAAAGGTAAAGAGTCATTTTCTTTCAAGAGAAGTTGTCCGTGGTAACAGGTCTCAGGAGTTCATTTTCCTTCAGCGGTACTTCTTTGAGAGATATGCAGGCTCTTTAAAAAGAATAGGCAATTTTTAACGTTGCAGGTACTAAGTTGGTGCGGGGTACCCAGACAGAACTGAAAGGACAGATTCTAATGTCAGCAAAACTGATTGGAAAGCAGTATTGATTCCATGTTGTATTTCATATCCGAAGCAGCCAATGGCAAATGTTGTCAAAATGGAATCAGATGTTTGTAACTTAATACTTAAGAAAAATGATGAGTGCATGTTTTTGACTTTAAGTATTCTCTGTGCTGCCTGGCTTAAGACATAAACTGATGTAAAAATAAATGACTGCCTGCATAATTTATGTAATGTCTTGCTCCCTGATCCTGTTTGTATTGATTTTTCTAAAAGGCTTTTGTGGCCACAGGAACCAATCTGTCTCTCCAGTTTTTTCCGGCCAGCTGGCAGGGGGAGCAGCGACAGACACCGACCCGGGAATATGTCGACTTTGAAAGAGAAGGAGGCAAGGTAAGAAGGAAATTGTTGCGACTGAAAGAATTTTTTACGTTGTGCTTATGACCTTATTTGTATGGACCACATGTATGATGCGAAATTACTAACATTTCACATCTCGGTGCGTGTAGGTAGTCACATGAGTACAACTGAAAGCTGGCAGAGTAAAATCTGTTATCGCTTTGTTTTAAAGTGTGTTAGTATTTCTGGAGGGAAACACGTGGGCAGAGCTGGTAGCTTTTTATTATTTTGAAGAACATTACTTCTACTGCCATTCTGTGATAAAATGTTGGGGAGCAGTTTAAATCTGATGTAGAGCAGGTGGTTCCAAAATGGTTCAGAAATCAGGCTGCGGCCAATGAGTAGACTGTTGAAAATGTGCGCTTTGGACGGGTTACTTCATTAGGTCTTAGGCTGTCAGTTGATACTGCAAGTGGTCAGTGTACTGCTTAGTGGAATGAAGCTTTTTTCTCGGTTTCACCATGAGCTATAATACGGAAGAAGCATCGCTTTTGGAATTGATCTCTGAATATTTTATTTTTCTGAGGTGGTTGTCCCATGGACTGACACGGAAAGCTAGAATTCCCTAATGACAGTGATGGCTAATGTGAAGCTGTATTGGATTTAAAGTCAGAAACCTTGCTTAGTCTCATCAGAATGAAGTTACTGAAACCACATACAGCTGGTTTTCTTTTACAGGAAAGACAGACCTTTAAAATGTAAATGCTGTCTCTTATCTGTGCTGCTGTAGGAGCTTTGGGACTGATCCAAAGATCACTGAATTCAGTAGGAGACTTTCTGCAGACCACACTAGGTTTGAACCAGCACTGAAGCCCCCATAGCCTTTCGGTTTCAGGCTAATTTCTGTGTAGGTTTTTTTTTGTTGTTGTTTTGGGGTTTTTTTTGCTTTAAAGATTGTAATAGCCTACAAAATTCTTGCTTTTGCCTAGAATTTTTTACCTACTCTTGTTAGGAGTAACAGATAATGCTACCAAACCTATGAGGCTGGAGGAAATATTTGAAGCATATTCAGGTTTAATGGCATGTTGGGTCTTCTAAATGCTGCTAGGTGGAACATAAATATTTCCTATAGTGGGAAAACCTGATTGGAAGAAAAAAAAAATTCCTGAGGACAGATGTGGTATTTGGAATTTGAGTTAATGACTTTCTTTGGAAAAAAAAATTGTTTTCCATTTAGTCCTGTGAGGCTTGCAGAAGTTTGATGAATTGGGGGAGGAGGAGTGAAGTTGGCTATGCTGGGTACTGGCTGGTTTGCCAAGGAAACTGAATTGAAGCTGGCTCTTATTGAAAAATATTGATTCTGGCTCACAATTGAATGAGGAATTTTGCTTGTGATGTGTAAGAAGGCTGAAGTCTTGATTCTTGCCAGCTCAAAACTAATTTTATTTACTCCTATGATTTTTTTAACTTTGTTTTCTCTGAATGAATTCTTAAAGTACTGAACTGCTTCATCCATTTTCTTGTGTTGTCTTAATCATCTAAGAGCGTGGTAGCTGTGCTGTGTATTAAAATAGAACATGAGCCTCATTAATGAATGCCACTCCCTGTTTTATGTGTGTTTACAGTAAATTCTAGAGTGCTTCACTGAAACGTTTAGAAGAATTCATCTGAATGAGGCTAGAGGTGGAGAAGCTGATGGATGGGAATAATGTTCTGCTGTAGGATGAGCGAGTCACAAATTCACTGTTGTAATCGGACCTTACTAGTGTGAATCATGTATGAATGCAGGCTCGCTCTGCACAGAATTAAACTTGTCTGAAAGTAAGCCACTCCCATAACTTGGGAGGAGGAGAGTGAGCAGGATGGGGGAGAGTCTCTAGTGTTATCAACAGACACAGCTAGACGTTTCATATGAATTGTCTGAGATTTTGTCCTCTGTAGAGCCTTGGTGTTTGATTTTATTAAGAATTTATTTCAGAGGTTTTGGCAGTCTCTTCAGATCATGTGATTTTTGTAGCTCTGTGCAACGTTGTTTTACGAGCTTTGATTCTTGAGGCGGTGCATAATGTGTGTTTGTTCATCCCTGGATGTAAGCCAGCAAGGCATGTTTTTAATTACATGGATAAAAAAAGGCTGTGGGGGGAGCTGTCAGTTAATTATTATTTTAGGCATTAGTTTGAGATCTAGAATGTAGATAAACTTACCAATGCTAGAATATTTTTATTCTGGAATTCTGCTTCAGTGTTTGGCGAAGCAAATGATGGCCCAGAATAGTTTATCCAGAGCAGAAGTATGTCACGGTTGTGCCTAAGCACTTTGGTGCACAGATTGACAAAGCAACCGACGCAACATCTTCTAGAATTGCGTCTTAAATGATTGAATTTTAGAAAGAGCAACACCCTTGCAAATCTGTGTGGAAGTCGGGATTCTGTGAATATCTACTTCATAGGCTTGAGGTTTTTCATTCTGGTATTTCTTAACTGAGGGGTTTTTCCTATGCTTAATTTGCCTTTTAATTTGATGTGTCTGATGTTCACGATGGGTGGGTAGGCTTTTAGTGGATACCCTGTCTTCATTAATTCAAGAATTGGATAGCTCAGCGTTTGCTTGATCTTCCTACTCATTTTAAACTTGAGCGTAATATTGTTTTTGAGATAGTTGTAACATTCTGTGCTGTCTTTGACCTGTGGCAGATTTAATTGTCTGTTTGAGCAATGTTTCAGGTTTGCTGTAGCAAAACAAAAAGTAGCACTAAAAATAGGTCCCTAGATTTAAAAATCATAGAACATTGCATTTTGTTGTGACTGGGGGGGGTGGGGGGTGTGGCAAACTCAGTGTGTGTCCTATTTCTGGATATCCAAACCAGACCAAGGCTTCCTGATCCTTTGTCTTGTCGGCTAATGTCCAGTGTGGTGTGTGGGGTTTTTTTGTTTGTTTGTTTTTTTTTTTTAAAGAATAAATGAATAGCTATTATTAAGAAATTCAGAGGCAGACAGGGTAGTAGTGTAATGTATTGCCTGAAATCTCACATAATTGAACCCTGGAATGATATGGAGAGCTTTTTTTTCACCTTGGTTCTCTGGTATCATTAATTAATTAGACTAGTTTTGTTGTGCTTAATGAAGTTCTTTAATTTTTACTTCAGTTTTATACAGATGTCATACGAACTTCAGGCTGAACTGCGTGTGTGTGGACTTGAGTGTTTCCTAAAACTAGTTTTATTCAGAGTCCTTTTGTGAAGAACTGTGTGATCAACTTTCTTTGCATGATTGCATGATTTGGGGTCAGTACTGGGCCCAGTCTTGTTTAACTTCTTCATCAACGACCTGGATGAAGAGTTAGAATGTACCCTCAGCAAGTTTGCTGATGACACAAAACTGGGAGGTGTG